GAATAGACTATTGAACGGTTAAATTTTGCTCTTGGATTAAAAAAAAAACTCGACTTTTACGTACATAGATTCATAACACAATAAGCAAGACAGATAGAAAATAATTCTTATAGATACAAAACTCTGATTTCAGTGCAATCAAGATGATTCATAATTCAAGACAATGTTTCGTTTAAATCACTAGTCTCAATGGAAATAATATTTGGGATGCAAGAAGTAGCAATAAAAAAACCCTATGCCGTCTTTCATGTAGTATCGTTGCAATCAACTCATCTGACGAAGAAAAGTTCCAAATGTGACTCACCAATCGAACTGATATTTTGCTCATAATTAGGTCTCGACAACACTAGTAGAAATCTATAAATATTTGTCCTCATACGTTATTCTTCCCTATTTATATTGTAACGCATGATTATTTTTGAATATTCAATATCTCAAGCAGAACACATCGTTTTAGGCTCAAAGTTTCAAAACATTCTACTATCCATGGGACCTACGTATAGGTAAATTTCCAAGTTGAAATGTCGGAATTCAATTTTTTGAGAAATAACTTGCCAGAAATATTTCAATTTAGTAAAATTATAATAAATTGAGAACGACAGTGTATGGGGATGAACCTCTATATAGGCTTCTACTAATCTCATTGAAGTTTACTTATGGCAAAATATCAGTTCAATTGACGAGTCATACTTAGGGACCTTTCCTCGTAAGACTATTGAACAAATTTAAATCTTTCCATGTGACAAGGAGAATTCATTGATTTGTTTGAACTAACGTTTCTAAGATAATGTTACAAACGCTAAATGATTGAAAAATTACAAAAAATACAAACAATAAATATTGTATGATGGTTTCTAGTAGTTACCAATAAATAGAAAAAAAAAGTCATCATTCTCAGAAGAATGCTTTCTCTAAATAGTGAATTCACTTTATTACCTTCGTTCCATATTGTTGCGTTGCTTTTGTTGCCATGTGATAAAGTTTTTCACGATAGAGTTGAGCAGCACGACTATTATATTTTTGTTGAGTATCTTTCGTATTACAACCATGTTGTTGAAAGAATGCATCCTAATCGTAAAAAAATATTAAAAAAAAACATTTCTCTTATGATTATAACACAGTAAACACTTACAGCATTGGCATTGCCGCCAACTTGCATGGCTCTATGTAAAGAAAAATATTAAATTATAGAAATTTAAAAATTTCAATAAAATATACCGAAGTTGAAGCCATCCCCAACTTGTATCAAGATTAGTCGAACGTATAAATGATAAATGAACACCAAGACCACGATGTCTTGCTGAACAATCAATACATACGAAAACACCATAAGTAACCGATGCCCATGTTGGATTTTTAGCATCACAATCAAAACATACCTATCAAACGTTACATAATATAAATATAAAATTCAACAATCATAGACAAACCTTATTTGCAGGAAGTGCTCTTAATCGTTTAAAAATAGTGTCAATATCAGCTTTTGTTGGATCTGCCATTAGGTTATTCTTAACCTTGATGATAGTAAATTCTATTTATTTAAAAGTAAAAAGCAAATAAATTGCTAGCCAACAATTGTTCTTTATCATAATTCGTTAGTTGCATCGTCAGCAATACGCCAATTGGTTCAATGTATAAATAAATATAAATTACTAAAAATTTAAATTTCAAATATATAAGAATTTATTTTTCTATTTCAAATAATTTTTATTTTTATTTTTGAAAAAATATCAAACGACATCTATAAAATAATTTCATTCGTTATAATGTTATCCTGTTAGGCACGAATTAAAAAGAGAATTGAAATTATCAGACGATAAATAATTCTTCGTCATTTATATTATTGATTGAAATTTCAGGAATTTCGAAATGTTCGGAGGTACCAGTCAATTTTCATTTGGTGGCAGTACAGCACCATCAAATCGTATGTATTTAAAATTATATGATATTTCATTTATCTTTTTTTTTATTTACTGCTTACAGCTTTTGGTGCAACATCAACAACTACCACTGCAGCTCCGGCAACAACTGGATTTTTATTTGGCTCTACGGCTACACCAGCAGCCAGTACAGCTGCCCCTTCATTAAATTCAACATTTACATTTGGTACTCCAACTGGAAGTGCATCAACAGCCGCACCAGCTACATCACAACCGCTTACATTTGGTACTGGTTTACAAGGTGCAACAACTATTCGTCCATTTGGTAGTACAACTACATTTGGTAGTACACCAGCTTCTACAACACCAGCTACGGGAACAACAGGTAAAGATAAAACAACAAAATAAAATAAAATTCTTAATTTGAATTCCTTTTTTTTTAGGTTTTGGTGGAACATCTTTATTTGGTGGAACTCAACCAGCAGCTCAACCAACATCAATATTTGGTTCAACAACAACAACATTTGGTGCTGCACAACCTACACCAACAACTAGTATATTTGGTTCAACTGTAACAGGTACAACTCAAATGGGTACAACAGTTAAATTTGAAGGTGTACCTGGACAAGGTAAATCAGTAAATAAATTTTTTTTTGAATCAAAATATAAGGTTTTTTGTGTTTTTCTTTTCTTAGATACAATGCGTACAAAAAATAATACATTTCAAACAATAAATACTAAACTTCAATGTATCTGTGCAATGAAAGAATATACAAATAAATCAATGGAAGAATTACGTATGGAAGATTATCAATCAAATCGAAAATTTCCAGCAACGCCTTCATTATTTGGTTCAACAACTTTTTCATCAACACCATTTAGTCCTGCACCATATGGCGCTAACAGTAATTTAAATCTATTTCTTTTAAAATATATAATTATTAACATATGTTTTTTGTTTTTGTTTCTAGCAACATTTTCTGCTGCATCAACAGCACCGAGTATTTTCGGTAGTACAACAGCTACAACCACAAGTCCATTCGGTATAATTAATCGTTTTGAATGCAAAAAAAAATTTTCTTTTCTCTCATCTAATCAAATACTTTTTTAGCTGCATCAGCAACATCAACACCTTCATTTGCATTTGGTACGAGTACAGCACCAACAACAAGTATATTTGGAACACCAGCAGCTACAACAACTAGTCCATTTGGTACGGGAACATCAACAACACCAGCAACAGGTTCAATTTTTGGTACAACACAACCAACAACAAGTATTTTTGGTTCAACAACAGCAACAAATCCATTTGGTGCTAGACCAGCTACAACTCAACCTACATTCGGTAAAAAGAAGTCAAATTTATTTTCTAAATAAAACGATTAAATTTTCTAAGGTTTTGGAACAACAACAACAAGTACTTCAACACCATTTTCTTTTGGATCTCAACCAGCTACAAGTGCAGGTATATTTTCTCAACCAACAACATCTACACCTTTCGGTACGACAGCTTCAACTACTACAACAAATATATTTGGTGTTCCAACTTCTACAACAACAACTCCAGCAATGACAAATCCATTTGGTGGTCAACCAGCTACAACAAACATATTTGGTACAACAACAAGTGCAGCTGCACCTGTATTTGGTGCTACAACAAATACACCAGCATTTACAGGCTTTGGTGCTAGTGCACCAGCAGCAACAACGACAAGTATCTTTGGTACTCCAGCTACATCAACAGCTACGACAGCTCCAATTTTTGGTGGTTTTGGTACAACAACAGCTACTCCAGCTGCAACACCATTTTCATTTTCATCAACAGCAACAAGTGCTGCACCGACTCTATTTGGTACATCGGCACCAGCAACAACAACTTCATCAATTTTTAATCCTCAACCATTTACTGGTTTTAGTTTTAATCAAGCTCAACCAGTAGCATCAATGGCAGCTCCATCATTTGGTTTTTCTGCACCATTTGGATCAACAACAACAACAGCAGCAGCAGCAACAACAGGTTTTGGTGCACCAACAAATATTACTCAAACACAAATTCAACAATCAATACCATTAGTACAACAAAGATTTCTTGCTGCATCACTTCTTGATCCATTTGCTAGTCGTGGAAAAAAAGATTTCAATAATATTGATCAAATAAAACCACCAACTGATTTAATTGTTGTTTCAACTTCATCAGTAACACCAACAACAGTTACAACATCAACATCATCACCAGTAACATTACCTTTACAATCAACTTCACGTAAAACATCTTCAGCTCGTCCATTAGTTGATATTCGTTTTAAATTAAAACCTGTTTCATCATTATCGTCACCAAATATAATAAATGATGAAATAAAATCACCTAATCAATCAACAACACCAACAACAGGACAAATCAAAAGTCCATTAACAGCTGATTTTAGTGAAGAAGAAGAACTTCTTTTAATTGGAAGAAATAAAATGTCAAAATTACGTTTATCAAATGATTTTATTGATTCATCATTTCAATCTGAATCTATTCGTTCACTTTATCCATTAAGACGTCTTGCTGAACTTGAAACATTAGCTAATATGAATAATAATACAAATATTCTATCAACTGTTCATACCATACCATCATCAACATCATCTACAACAACAACAATTGATACTGCTTCAGCTCATGTTTCATCAACAACTGTTAATAATGAACAAACTTTAAATCCAGGAAGTAGGTTTATTTTAAATAGGAAAGATGCCGACAGATTTAATGGTCTCTCCTAAACCAAAATGCCATACATATGCTTTTATAGAGAAAATTCTGGCGCATTGTATGATACACAAGAAATTAAGTTTTAGAGAAATTTTGATGTGCTAAAGATCAATATGTTGATTACAATCCGTGTGGCACATTATAGGATCCTCATAGACATTTTGATCTCTAAGATGAACGTGTACAAATTTTATTTTTAAATTCAATTCGATACAGTCATAGGTGTTGTTCTTCGATTTTCTATAATCAATAGTTTTCATCATTGCTTTCTTCATACTTAAAAATGATTCCTTTTGTAAAGTCTAAGTTATTTCTTGACTATATGATATTACACTATTTCATATGATAATATCTTTTGAAATACCAGGAACTTATTGTCAACTTGCAAGATTGTCCTCTAGAATAGTCTATTTTCTTATATGAATGGATCGGTGTATTGACGATATTTTAACAGTAATCAACGGTCCTATTAAAAATTTTGATATATCAATATTCAATACAGCATCCTTGATGAACTGATATGAATAACTTTTTTTTATAAATGGAAAAACAGTTTTCCATCTCCAGACTCCTGGAGGGGGTACAAGAATATGGAAAAATTTATTTTTGAAATGAGCATAAGATATTTATAAATTCTTGTAGTGTTTCAGGCGTAAATCAAACTTGAATACTCGAAATATAAATTTGAAAAAGCATTAACAAAAAATAACAGACCTCTTTCTTGCAATTCTATACTTGTGCTCCTCTCCAGGGATCTGAATGTCAAACCTTTTTTTTGCGTTAATGAAGGAGTTATTTAAATCAGTCCATCCGGAATAATGTGCTGATAATTAATGCATAAAAATTTTGAATAGAACTGCTGAGTAATGTTAAAATATCATCAATATACTGGCTCTTTCATATAGAAAAATAGGCTATTCTTGAGAATAATCTTGCAAGTTGACAATGAATCACTGTTGTTCCGAAAGATATTATTTCTAAAACATAGAGCTTGATAATGTGCAATTTTTTAGAAGGTTTTTTCGTTGGTAGTCATGTGTTCTATAGCACAGAATTGAGCATACTGAAATATCATGTAGTCCAGAAATAACCTAGATCCTAGAAAAAGAAACATCTTTAAGTATGAAAAAAGCAACGATGAAAACTATTGATTATAGAATATTGAAGAACACCTATAACTGTATCGACTTAAGTTTTAAAAAGATTTCCTTACGATTATCTGAGAACATTGTAGACATTAAAATGTCGATGAATATTCCATAATATCCTTCATGCATTATAACTAGTGTATTGACTCTTAGTGCATGAGAACTTCCATAAAACTTGATTTCTTATATAGCATTGTAGTTCAGGATAGATCACCAAATCCGACGAGATCCTTTCTATTCAAAAAACATTGAACAATGTTTTGCAAATTTTTTGTTTTTACTTTTTAGATGGCAATCGTGGAATGTTACCTCTTCATCATTCAACTCCACTTATTGTTCATAAACAACCATCACCTTCAATATCTCATCCATCAACAACACTTGTTCAATCACCAACATCTCTTCCTCCACCATCAACAACACCACCACCTCCATCATCAATATCAACTAGTTCAATTCAACGAACAAAATCTTCACATGATTATGATAATACAAACATAATAAAATCAAATGCTAGTTCTAATGCTTATCAGTTACCAAAATTAACACGTGAATATTATTATATGAAACCATCTATGTTAGAATTAAAATCATCATTTAATGATCAAGGTCAATGTATTGTTAAACAATTTTCAGTTGGACATGAAAAATATGGTTCAGTAACATTCTATGGTCAAATTAATGTTGCCGGTCTTGATCTTGATCGAATTAGTAAA